GGTTTTTAAGATCTTAATTTCAGCATGCTGGATTTTCATTTGCTGTCTAGAATACAGAAGATAAGGAACCAACACAAAAATGAAACTCCACCCTCTACTTCATACAGAATTTCATCTCACATGAAAAGATACTTCAATGAGGCGTACATCTGGGGCTCAAATAAGTGTTAATAGATAGCAGTTGCTCAAGAATTTCTGGTAAATCTTTTGACGTGACTGTGGATTTTACTTTATTAAGTTTTTATTTTAAGCTTTAAACTATTAAGTCATGCTGTAGATGGAGTTTAAAAGGCCTGTTGAAAATGAAAAGAGGAGGAGAATAGAGCAACCTAGAAAAGAAATGCAGGAATGCAAAAGACTGAAAATTCAACTCTGTTCTTTCTTACACAAAATGCCAGTCTTTGTGTTATTGTGCACAAAGATCCTTCTCAGTTTACAGTTATCCTGTTCCCTATCTTTGTTACTTTGTATGTCCATTTCAACCTCAAGATCAACCAATGCATTCTTTGCTATGAGCCCTGCCTCAGAGCTTTCAATGATTTCTCACATGGTGGGATTTTCTGCTTCACTGTTCTGTATATTTAATGATATTATACAGACTATTTCAAAATAGTAAATTCTTTCTTACAGTGCCCTTTTGTTTTACAACTACTTAACAGTTATGATCTTTCTGATTACCTAAAATAGTCAATATCTCAGTGTGAAACACAGTTTTGATGAAGTTATTAAAAACCACATTCCATGTTTTCAGTGCCCCCTCCACCCCAACATGCCTGATGTCTGCTCATACTTTAGTATCATATAATGTTGAGTTTTGGTAAGAATTACCATATCTATGCGTCTATTGTAAAGTCTAAAATCAATTACTTATACAATGCTTGCTCCAAAAGTAATTCCTCTTGTTTTATTATGTTGGCCCACAACATCAGAGGTGGATGTTGGTGTGGTGGTTGAACGTTCCCATCAATATTCTATTTTGTTGCTGTGTGACAGATTGCAGCAGGGGGGCAGTCGGGCAACAATGGTGCCTGGTATTGAAGTGCATGTGAAGCAAAGGTGTGGCATTGAATTTGCTTGCTGAATGTTTATGAAGGCCAAAAAGTGGCTGTGAGCACAGTGTGATGGTGAGTGGTGCATTTCAGCAATGGTGACTGCAGTGTGAAAGACAAGCCATGTTTCAGATGGCCATGCAGATTTTTGAGTGCAATAATTTGAGTATTTAAAGCAATTATAATATCAGTACTTAAATTTCCAGTACTGCAGGAGGATTGCTCATATATTGGCTTACTGTATGTCAAACAAAAACAAACCTGAAAACAAGTAGATGCCCTTCTTATGTTAGAGCATTTGAAGAGCTAAACTACTAAGTATAATATAAGATAAACAGTTTCAGAGGCAGTGGGAAGAGTTGGAGATCTTTATCAATCAGCAGAGTAGATTTTTAGCTGGGGATGGTGCATGGAGCAGGACTGGATCAGCTGAGTTCAGACCAGCTCTAACTCCTGGAGCTACTGCCACAACTGGCTGCCTCCATGTGGCTCTTCAGCCTGACACAATCAGTGCCTATGTCATGTCTATGATGCTTTAAAAAAAAAAAAAAAATAAAGAAAAAAAAAAAGCAACTAATTTTGTTTCCAGCCCCTTTCTCTTAAAAATTCATGGTAAGTTTTGTTTTCCGTACAGTTTAGCTATTTCTATGTCTCTATGCCTTGTTTGTTTTTCTTTATTTTGCTGTGATCTGAAAATGCAATCTAGATAGATATGCTGTCAGGAAGCATTGAGCCCTGCTGTGTAATGATAGGAATGATTAGTTGTATTTGTCTTACTGTCTGTCCTCTTCAAAGAAATGTTAAAGCTCTCAGGCACTTCAAGAATAGCACTGGGGATTGCTGTAGGTGTGACTTCTGTCTGTGATGAAATGTAGGTCAGAATGGGTGTGGGTTATTAAATGTTCTTTAAACTGAAAGGAATGATTGTCCTTTTGAGTAATTAATGCATTAACTGCCCTCAGTGTTGCTGTGGCAGGCTCTAGGGGCTTTTCAGAGACAGCAAAGTGCTGTTGGTTTTGTTAAACAAAGAATCTTGTATCATTACCATAAATTATTTCTTTTTCTAAAGATTGGAAATTTTGTTTCATCCTTCAGATGCAGCATTAAAGTCTGTTCAGAGAGACATTCTTGAGGAGATCTACCCAGTGTTAAAACACTTTTGCCTGGGGAGTGTTCCTTGGCTCAGTCCCATTTCCATATGGAAGTCATCATCCCTTCTTGTGTAAAAATATTAAGGGCATGTAGAGATATATACTGTTTAGCCAGGGATGTTCTATTGATACCCGTGTGTTCTTCATCGGTTATATCCATATCCAGACCCCGTGCTGGGCTGTCCAGTGGGGTAATTGTCAGCTTGGGAGAAACGACATTACAGTATTTTTCTTTATTTGAGGTTGGGGTTTATAAGTCATGTTCTGAACTGGAGGTTCTGCTTAGTGTCCAGTTTCGATAATTTCCCTAGCAGCAGATGTAGAGATGAATCCTTCACTACTTCCTAATGTTAGAAATCTTGAACTTTTCAATTCCTGAAGTTTGCTATCAAGAGAACATACAAACAAGAGTACATATAAAACAGTCTGATTTTCTTCAAGTTTGAATTATTGCCCTTGTTGATATAAGGCATATTTCTACTTCTGGACTTCTAATTATTCTGTGTTCACCTCTGAGTTTCCTAGCATATCAGCAGGAAGCATAATTTTGGCCTGACTCTCAAAGAACCATTCTTTTCACTACTGAATTGATCTTTGTCTCATAAATTTTGTTGGGAAATTGTTTAAATAGAAAGCATGGATTTTCCTGCTTTTAAGTCCCCTTTTAAATTGAGTTGATCATATATTTTTAAATTCAGAATAGATAGTAAAGGAAATGTTTTTAGCATAATCTAGTGAGTACGCTACCATGAAGTTTCTGATGTAGCTGTATTCCTGGTTGGTGACCAACCAAACTATTTTTGAAAAAATGCAATTTACAGTTTATTCATCATAAGTTAACCTTACCCCAAATAAATAAATAAAGAAATAAGCAAAGCTTAACCATAGAGTAATCTGTGAGAAACTCACGCCAGTGTGAAGGGAACTTCCTACCACTTGTCTTACTAACCTTGGATTCTATGAGTATCTTGGCACAGGGAGTGATAAAGACTATTTCATTCCATAGAACATCCTTGTAAGATGGTTATCTATATTAAGACTAGCAAGCCGTGACTCTTACAGGGTTGTTCCCATCCTTGGCACTTGATGATAAAGAGTACTGAAGAAGCGAGTCCAGAGCTTACTGCAGGAAATGGCCAATAGTAAAGAGAATATATTGCTCTATGGTTAAACCACAAATGAAGGTGGGAGTGATTCCAGTACCTTTTGTTTACAGGTATGAATGCAATCACGTAATCGAAAGAGTGTCTGTAGGCTTTGCCTATGCCCTTTGTGTTACAATCTGAGTTTAGGGAAACTTGTTTCCTGCAGTACAGACCTTTTGCTGTTGACATTTATGATGACTTTACTTTTTATAGTATATGCGAAAGACAAACATGTCTTTCATACCAAACCTGTTGGTATACTTAGTTGTTGCTCGGTGTCTGTGATGTTCAATTTTTCAGTGAATATTTTTCTGTAATTTGGCACAAGAGTGCCAGGTACAGTCAACTTTCTGAGAAAACCTGCTTCCAGCACGCTGCTCTATGAGGTCCATCATTGCAGCTAAACAGCCCAATGCAGGATGACCTTCAAACTTGGCTGCAAAAAAAGTGATTGTCTTTGAATTTCTGAGATGCTGCTGTGGAAACAGAAGTGAAGTAACTTCTTTAACATAAGGGTATTAGAAAATAGCAAAGCTGCAAGAATTTCTAGTCTCTCCAACTCCAAAAATAAGGAAAGGAACAAAAGTGAAGACTTTTGACTGGAACCTGACCCAAATGTAAATGACTTTGTGACTTTCAAAGGTGCTTAAGATTATTTTGTACTTTCACACGTTAAGCAAAAATGCATATATTCCTTAGACGTTTTCTCTTGAAGTTCAACTACATGGACTAAGTAAAAACAATCCGACACGGGACTGGGGTGGCACTACGCAGATGCACGGCACCGAGCGCTGTGTGGCAGCGCTGGGTTGTTGCTGCCGGAGCCGCTGACCTGTACCCGCGCTGGCTTGCTGCCCGCACGCAGCTCGCGGCGCTGGGCGCGGTGCCGGCGCTCGGTGCCACCTGCCCGCGGCTCCCGGACGGCTCCGGTAACACGAAACCAGTCCTGCTGGGTGTTGTTCGTGGCCCTGCAGGCTGAAGTCTGCATTCCAAATGCGACCTGCCGCACAGCGGGAGGGAGTCTCTCCTTTTCCTCCCTTGCTCTCTTTCAAGGTGCTCGCTCGGGCCAGCCGAGACCCGAGAGCACCGCACAGCATTTGCAGTGGGAACTTCAGAATTCGCACCTCGGGTTTTCACTTGGCTGGCTTTCCGGGATGATGGCTTTATCACGGAAGAGCCTTATCCATGCGGAAGGCCCATGCAGAGGAGCGCTCGGGGAGCTCCCCGCCGCAGGTTCCCGGCCCGCGTCCTGCTACGAGGAAGTGGCGCGCCGCCGCTGCGCGCTGCCCCGGCTGGGAGCCGCGTTTATATAGCCGCGCTGCGAGTAGGAAGTCGGGCAGCCAGTAGGATTGCGGGAGAGGGAGCAGAGCCACTGGTTGCGCTTCCAGCCGGGATCGGCGCGCCGGCACACCCGCTGTGACAAAAAGCCCTTTGTGCGAGGGACCGAGCGCCGGAGAGCTTGCCGCGTCCTTCGCTATTCCCTACCGGAGCCCGGGAAGCCGATGGGCGGTGGCGCGAGAAGCAGGAAGCAGCGGGAGCGCGGCCCGGCCGCTGCCTGACCTCCCCGGGCCCGGCCCGCCGACGCGCAGCGCTGCGTGCGGTGAGCGCCGGTCCCCAGCGCCCGCACGGAGCTGGAGCCGCGCCCCGCGCCCAGCATGGAAGGAGGAAACGCGGGGTGCAGCCGGCAGCTTCCCGAGCGGACGGGTCCCGCGGAGAGTGAACCGGACGTCTTCACCACTTTTGCGGTCAGAGCGCTTTTTGGACTTACAGCCAAGTTGGAATCGGTAACTCCCAAAGAAGAAGAAGCAGTGCTTAAAGTGTTTCAACCTTTGCACACCAATGTCAACACTCAGGCTAACAATCGGTATGAGAGGAATGATAATGATGGTGTTGACGACTCAGAAAACCAGCACGGCGCAGGCTGTACCAGTGACCAAGCTGACCCGATGTCTGGCAGCCGTGCTGAACTGGAGCCGGAGCCGGCAGGACAGAATGAAATACTTCTTCCCCGTTTAAGGTCTGTACAGACTTCTTTGTCTGAATCTGACAACGATGCTATTCTCGTACAAGGTACTTTGGTTCACACAACAAGTGACACGGAATCAGATGGTGAGAGTAAGGACACAGATGCTGATGAAACCAACACAAGCAAATGTGGGCTAAACAATGCTGCTTTGTCTGCTGTGGCTTTGGACGGTAACAATCAAAGTAAGGAAGAGTCAGATTCAGAAGGGTACAGACACAGCGATGACACTGTGGGTAGAGAAGACACTGAGTTATACCCACCAATTTCTCAGTGGTTTCCCAGAGAGCTGGACAGCGTTCTGGAGTGTGATTCCAGTGGCAAAGACAGAACGTTAATGGATGAGCAGTTCAGTTCCTTGCTTGCTACAGGGGAATGCCCTCCAGAAATTCCAGGTGAGGATCAAAGGCCTTCAGTTGATAATGCATCTCTCCATAAAACAGCACTGGCTGAAAAAAGTTTCCAGCTGCCTGCTTTTTTTAGTGGCCTACGTGTGAGGAAAAAGGGGCTAAACACAGAGGATGGGGAAACTATTACAGAAATTAAGCCAAGGGAGAATGATTTAGCTCTGCTTAAATTACGACAGCCTGTTAAGAAATCCAACATTACATCAGGTTTGACCACAAAAAAGAAATCATCTGAACCTAAAGCAAGTCCTACTTTCCTGGAGCAGCTCTCTCACCTGTTAAACATAGACGTCTCCAAGAATGATGAGAGAACCCAAGATTCTGGTGCAGCGTTTGGGGAGACTGAGGACAGCGATGAAGGCCCAGAGAACAAAGCCTCTGGCAAAACAGAGCCACTGTTTCTCTCTGAGGAAATAAAATCAAGCCCTGCTGAATCTGCACTGGACGTCTTTAAAGCTTTATTCACACGACCTCCCAAAAAAGAGACAACGGCAGATCCTTCAGAGCTGGAAGCCATCAAACGCAAAATGAGAAATGAGAAAGAGTCCTTGAAAGCTGTGTTTGAAAGGTCAAAACCTAAACCTGGCGATGGACCATCAGACAAATCTGTAGGTTGGCTTATTTTTTCTTCCTAAATCTGGAAGTAGATAGATATAAAATACTTTGATTTTTAAAATTAGTGGTGGGGACTTAAGGTCAAAGTGTAGAAAAGTCTTCTAAAAGGCAAAGTCTTCTACTTGAGACAGTCTCAGGTTTTGGATTCCAAACTGAAGAAATCTTGGGGCAAATTTTTCAAAATTGTTGATCATCTGCCATTCTAGCAGAACTTGGAACTGATAATCACGGTTTGTAAATAAAAATCAGAAAATACAAGTTTTTCATTTTAAAAGATCATTACAAAGCAGTTTTCCATACGCTAAGTAGTGTTTAAAGTCAGTTTTGTATTACAAATATTTAATGTAATGTACTTACTGGTCTCTCAATCTCGCTCTGTTTTCTTTTTTCAGTTCGATTGGCTTTTGTTTTTTGATTTTTACATCTAATATTTCATTTAACCTTTAGGAATAATTCTAGGATAAGAACTGATACAATAACTTACAGGTTAATTCAGTTTAATTTGTCCAAGATGTAGAACTTAAAAGTATTTATTTCTTATTTACATATGTACCTGGCTTTCCATATATTGATAAGAATTTAATCTTATCAGAGTGTGACTGAGGGTGTCCAATTAGACCACTTGAGTTATGGTTTAATACATTCATTTGCAAGGTGATTGTTTGTATGTGCCTGGATATTTACTAATGTTTAAGAAATGAAAAAAAATTGTGTATATGTGCACAATGATAAGTGAGTTTGAGTGCAATTGAGACTTGGATGAGCAGCCAACACTTTCCCAAACCTAAAACTCTTTCAGCTACTCCTTTGCAGTTGCATTCAGTCCAGAAGCGTGCTGTAGGCTAACAGGGAAATTTACCCAAATGATTAAATTTGCAGGGTTGGACCCTAAGCCTGATAAGTTAATTTGCTGTGCTGGTTGCACTCTCTTAAAATTTTTATTCTTACGCGTAATTAAAACATTCATAAAAATGACTGACACCTGAGCAGACTGATAATACCAGTTTTAAGTAAATTACCTATGGGGAGGAGAAAAGAGGCACTCATGGGCCACGGCATGTATGGCAATTACAGTGCATGCGTGCCCTTCCCACCCCTGGGCTGCTGGTTCCTCCTTACACCATTCTCTGGCTGTGCTGGCGTAAGCGTCTGTGTGGCTTGCAGCAAGCCAGGTCGGGAGGGAGGAGGCACAGCCGTCAGCATGAGTGGCTCAAATGTCAGCTCTCAGCTGGCCTAGTGCAAGCTAGGCCAGTTTTCCCTGGGCAAAGCTGAGGTAGAAGGGTCTTGCCCTGCCTTTTTCCATGTCTAAATGAGCAATTTATGGGGCCACTTTCATACAGCGTTCTACTGTTGCTGCAGTTGTGTCTACACAATGACTCATGTGTTGTAGATCAGATTACAGAAATGCTAGGTTGAAAAAAAGACCACTAAACAGTTCTTGTTTTGCTTGTTTATTGTTATTGTTTCCCACTTAAATGGAAAATTTAACCATTCCAATTGACAGCACAGTGCTTTTACCAGCTGCAGCAGCAATTTGATGTGGCAGCATTATGTGGTATGTGGACTGAGCAAGCTGCTGTGGGTGGGGCAGGAATTTCTCAAACCAGCTCTGCTTCCAGAAATCATATCATCAAACAATGTCTCAGGTGAATTCCACCAATGTTCACTTGTAAGAGAAGTGAGGATGAGGCCTGGCTTTTTGCTCTGAAAAAAAAAAAAAAAGTATATCTTCCTATGTATGTAAACATATGTATATATAGGAAGAAAAATAAGTGTTTCTCACATCTTCGGTTCATCAAAGCATAGGCAGCTTTCTTTGCCACTGTAAACAGTTTCAACAGAATCATTGTACGTCACATTCGTTAGGATATCCTCCTCCTCAAAATTATTTTTCTACATTTTTCTGTACTGGTTTCTTTGTGTCCTGCTCGAGCACTGTTTGAATGATGACCTTTTTTGAGTTGAGTATATACGTAGAGCCAGATATCTGCTTTGAAACAACTGATACTGCCTACTTTAATTTTTTTTCTTTCATAATTTCAACAGCCTGATCTGAGTCCCTCAGAGCAAGATGACAAGACTCCAGGGAGACTCCAGACTGTCTGGCCACCACCGAAGGCAAATCACGAAGAAGTAAAAGTAGGATTAAAGTACACAGAAGCAGGTAAAACAAAGAGGTGAAGCATTCACAGAAATGAGTTTCTGACACTTTAAATGTTGTTTAAGATAGAGACAGTGATAATCGCAGTATTTTCTTATCTGGAAAAAACACACCTTGCTGTTTACTGTTACTTGTTAAGCACCTGACTTTTAAAATGCAAAATGGATAGATGTGTTGACATCTAAATTCTTGCCCATTTAAGTATCACAAGGAAATAAGTGCTTTTTGGTACAATGGGTTATCCATTTGTAGTGGGATTCTGTTCAAACAAGCGACAGAATACCGAAGGAAAGGAGACCTGTCATCTGTGTTCATTGGCAAGGGCAATGACCTGCTTCAAACACTGCCTCAGAAGAATTAAGTAGAATTTAAAACTAAGCTTTCATGCTATCTTGCTGTGAGAAAGTGTTCATGTTGATATTATGTGGTTCTTTCCAGTTCCAGTGGATATCCATTTGCCTTTGTACTAGGAGAATGAGTATATAGGCATAGGAGATCTACTCCTTCATATTGTTCAGTGTATTACTTTTTTTTCTTTCTTTCCTCAGCCCTTTCTACCTTAATTTGTTTTTTTTTGTTTTGGTTTTTTTTTTTTTTTTTTTTTTTTTTTCCTGTGTGTTTTTAAACTTTGAATGCATGATTGTAGATGTTGTTGAAAGGAACTATGTTGTTCTAATATAGGCAGAATTGGATTTACATTGCTTCTGTCAGTCTGGGATGTGTGTTTGTCATTAGATAGTCAGGGCAAGTTTTCTGTACTGATACGGGTATTCAGCTGCACTGCAGTCTCTTTCTGTTAAGCTTACGTTCTTATAACAGGCTGTGTGCTTGCTGTATTTAATTTTCCACAAATAAATATTTTTTTTTCTGCTAATGACTATAATTATCTGTAGCAAAAACACATGGCTGAAAGAAAGAAAAGAAACTGAATTAACAAAAGCTCCAAATTCTACTACTTGTAGAGAATTTAGGTCATGCTTTCCTGAAATTTGAATAGAAAGGGCAGACTGGCTCAGAGCCCATGTAAATTGTTACTCTTTTGTTTCAGTGTTATTTTGGGTGGCAGTGTCATCAACATGGTGACGATTAATTTGCTAAGTCAAGTTTTTATACAGACCAGATTCTTTAGTTCATTAGTCACCCCAGCGTCTGGCAGATGGATGGATCTGTATGAAAACAAATCGCTGGTGATTCAGAGGATGAGACAGAAGTGGTGCTTTTAATGGAAACAGGCAAAGACTGTTTTTTAAAAGTGCAGCAGACTTAAAGGTGTTAGCACGTTCGTAGTTCAACTCTGATAACATTCATGGATATTCAGAAAGCAGTCATGGAAGCAGGGACTCTGACATGTGGGGCAGCTACACCAGTCTGCTTTACTGGGAACCAGGGGGAATGTTATGGACAGGAGTGTTTATATGTGGTCTCCTGCAGGTGAAGGATGGTACTGTTCATGAGAGTAATGCAGATATAATTATAACAAGAGTTTATATTCAAGTTCTCTCATATCGCTAGTTGTTTGTTTGTTCATTTAATGAAAGTATCAGTTCAGGATTGTTTCTAATCTCAGTCTCTCCAACAGAGATTCGTGTCTGCAGAGAACATTTATGCACTGACGTTTCCCCTTACACCCCTTCCCATGTAAAGTTGCCTCCCAGCTACTAGTACCTGAGGAAACTTGTTGTCAACAAAATAGAATTCTTCATAATCTATTGTGAAGCAGGTTATTGATGATCATTACGCTTAAACTGGATTTGTCCCATAACCTGAAACCCATTTCTGACCAACAGTGCCTTGTTCTGACAGTTCTGATGAAATGGAAAGTTCTTGACTTTCAAGTCAAGTTCAGAAATTATCTATGGCAGGGATCTTTCTGATTTCAGTCTGCCTCCGGTGGTTTTCCTGAGCAGATGATTATTAGTAGCATAGAGCAAGCTAAAATTACTTAACATTCAGTCAACAATTTAGTTGAAGCTACCAAAAGAATAGAAAAAAATATGAAATATTTCATATAGATTCATATTGGAACCAACATTACAAACAATAACAATATGTAGAATTATTAGGTAAATTCATTTAACACAGCTTTCTTTTTTTTCTTCAATCACGTCCAAGGAGAAATCTGTAGACATATGCCCCAGTATTTATAACAGGGTACAAGAATACATACTTTTTTATGAGGTAGTATAGCTTTTTTCATTTGTTATGAGAGTTTAAAGTAAAAGTGCTTGAAAACTTGCAAGCTGGAACACTGTGATCTTTCTTACAATTCTCTTCTCAGTTATTGTTTTTCTTCCATCACAGTGAAATATGACAGGAAGGCAGAGATATTGAGTGAGAATTACTAGCTTTTTGATCTCTCATCTCCTTGCCATGCTTTTCCTCGTTATTCTTGCTGCCTAGTAAAAGCAAGAAATTCAGGCTTAGTTTGGCCTATGCAGCAGACATCCCAGTGACTCACAGCAGCTTGGAGGAGCAGCAAATTCCCTACTGAGGCTTGGAGTCTGGCTTGGTGTGTGAGAAACCAATTGAACAGAAAATGGATGTAACAAGGAACACATGTATGGGACTGACTAGGCCTGTTAGGAACATGACAACTGGAAGAAGTTAGTGTACAAGTAAAAGTCCTCACCAGCTGTTTTTCATGCCTTTGATAACATTTTGTGTAGTCATTGTATCATTACCCTGGACATCTAAAAATTACCAGTAAATATCTCTAAATCTTGAGTTGCAAATTTTGAATTAAAAAAAAAAGATGATACTACAAGATTTTGGCACATATTATGTTTTCTTAACTATTAATTCCTCTGTTTCCATAGTGCAATTCAATGCATTGTACTGTACCTTCATGGTTAAAGCAAACTGTTTCTGTGGGTCTCTAGAGAAACTGGAATTTCTTTGAAATGTGTCAGTCTAAAAATTCAGTAAGCCTGTAGTACATCAAAATATTTATATCCTAGAAGACTGAAACTGTAATATTTTAACTTATAGTTATAAATTTATTTATTTTTTCCATGAAAATCTTTCCTATGTTTTCAAAGACATTTCTGCGCGTATTTCTCTGGTCCTAAAATTCTGTTCTTCAGTTTTCATTAAAACTTCTTTTTCTTTTCCTTTTCCTCCATAATTTTTCGAGTTATTTCTTCCATTGCTTATGCTTTAAATCTAATAAAAGTGTGAATATGTCAGCTGTTGAATAAGGTGAGATCACCTAGTCAGATAGAGAAGACAAACTCATACCTATACTGAGTGGAGTCATAGAATAATATTGGATCACATGGAATCCACTTACAGTGGATCTCATCTACTCCCTCAGGCTAGATCAGAGCTTGCAGCCTACCGTATATAAGAAGGGGAGTTTAGAAATGAATGCTATTGCCTTTAAAATTGTTTAATTTGCAACAAATTACAAATGAAATACAAAATAATGGCAGAGGTACCAAGTTTTACATATGTTGAAACCTTGGGTTCTGTATGCTCTGGATTTCTAGCAAGAAAATTCATTTTATGATCTGTTTATATGTCATAAAGAAAGGCATAACAATCTGAACAAAGAGATCAGAGATAAGAATGTGACTTCATATCCATGTTTAACATAGGCTTAAGTTTGTCTCTATAACAGAAATAATCCTTGATGGCCTGAAGGAAGCTGTTGTAACAGTTGCTGCTAACGTTAGTTTCATCTTAAAACAAAACAGAAGTTTATTTGGTAATTTCAATTTATTTGATTTCAGTATGGTTATTCAGTTTTTAATCCTGTGACTATGACAGTGTGCCAGGAATTATGTGTTAATTGGAGATGGTATTATGATTTTATGGTCAATGATCAACTAGATGCTTCCTCAGACTGTAGGTGTACTGCACACAGCTTTTGCAGATTTCCTTGCTACATTTTACTGCATTTATTGTGTAGTGTGACAGGCATGTTTAGTCATGTTGTGTCAGTGTTTCATGGCTGACAAACACACTGACTTATTATTGGGAAGTTGAGGGTTATTGCAAGCCAGATTGATGCAGTCATATTGCATTCCACTACAACAATGATGTCTTCTCCTCATACTTATGCCAACTAAACCTGTTATTTTAAGGATTTGGAAGGTACAGGAAATCATCTGCTTGGAAATCTACATGTTCTCAGACCAGTAAGTTGTGAATGTGTTGTGTTGATCAATTCAGCAGCCTTTTGTTTATTTATTTACTTTTTTAAATTGCCTGAGGTTTACTATGAAAATATATTTAAAACAAACAAACAAACAAAAAACTCATGTCTCACACCTCGTTTATTTACTTATTTATTTAATAGTGCTATGGAGATGTTTCTCAACTTGCAAGGCAATTACTTATCAAACTGAAGGCCTATTGAGAACTGTGGTACATTAGCACTCCAGGCTGTGAAGAGGAACACTACTCACCTCCTCTTCTTGCCTACTGGAGGGCATGCAGGTCTTATGAAAAGGGAACTTTTGTTTCCCTGCTTCAGCTGATACTGTCATTCCTTCTGTGCCTTTTGAGATAGGAGTAAAAGGCCAGGCATCTAATAATGCAGAAGGTTTGATTGTGAACTGACTTGAAGAAAAATGTGAGTGGCCCTTCCAAGCTTTGGTTTACCCTTCTGTGAAACTGGCATAAGAATCCTTACCTAGTTTTCAAGCCAAATGCAGTTCCTTTTTTTTTTTCTTTATAGGTTAATGTAAAAGCAGCAAATTGTAAACGAGTATTGACTTCTTATTCTAAAACCTGCAGATTAGAATACAATATAGAAACTATGCCTTAGGCTGTCTGATAAAATGGTCAGGCCATTCTATATGCAGCTCATTATATTATTGCAGTTTGAAGAGGGAGAAGAGGTGTGCCTCACTTTTTAATGAAGATCCTTGATTTATATATCCAAGTTTGTCAAAATACAGGATTTTATTTTATTTTATTTTATTTTTTGAGTGGTGATGCATCTGTTGCATCAGATGCCTAAAAGGGTCTTATTTTATAGTATACAGAGCCATACCTGA